GAATCTCTGGCAAAAGAGATCAAAAATGCATCTGCCGTCACAGACGCGTAAGATACTGTAATTTTAACGATCCGCGAATAATAATTTTTATTGACAAAAGACAACAAAACAAGAAATGTAGAAAACAAAAAGAAACGTCAGTTCACGCTTTGCCTGTCTTTAGTATCGTAACTGATTACATGTTACGACACGTAATACAACACGTAAAATCACTCAATACAATCGAGTAGTTGATGTTTGAAAACATTTTTATTTACAGAAAATTGCCATCATTAGATACTGATCCACCATTTAGTAGATTCTTTTGATTCTTCGAATCGAGAAATGTTGCGGAATCTATTATTATTTTTCGAGAAATTTCATTACGATCAGAAACAAACGTTTTGACGATCTTGTCTCAATTTTCCTTTCCTTTTAAGAAGTCCTTCGACAAATGCAACTTCTAAAGATATTTATTATTTTTTATAATTTATTTGTCAGTTCAACATAGTTTATTAAGAGCCTAAAATAATTTTCTGTTATTTGTGGATTATAGCCAATCGTATAACCAGATTTTTACGTGGTCTGTGTGAGATTTTAGCTTTGACTACCATTTTAGAAACAAAAAATATGTAAAAATAATACGTACGATAGAAGGAATCGGTTATTTTTAAACGTTAACCATGAACGTTACGAAATTGGATCCCACCCAGCAAAATTTAATATTTGGAAATAAATCTTTTTCATCAATTTTTGATACATATTTCAGGAGGCTCTTGTAACCTATGCCCCCGTTCCATCTGAGTAATTATGGCACTCATTATAGCTTTACAGCTGTGTTTCATTTGATCTTTAAGACAACTACGATCTAACGAACGAATATATATTAACTGTGAACGTTATTTTCAGAATGATCGACACGCTAGACATTAATGTTTTTTATTTTCGCAATTACGGCAATGTATTTCCGAAGAAACACGAAATCAATCCGGATGTGTTCATTCAGTTGTGTTTGCAGTTGACATACTTTAGGTTTGTTTAAACGACGATTCGATTTGATTAAAATCAACATTATGACTATACAAATAGTTTTGGTTCTATGCAGAATTATCCTCTTTAATTGTCCAACAAGAGACAGATGGTAACAACTTAAAACAGACAAATGACATTAAAAAAATACATACAATACAATTGACGCCGACCTTTTCTTAGAGGATCCGAAGCCAAGAACACAGTATTAAAATTCTTTACAATATCACTTAGGTAAAAAAACAGTTGTATTTATATCCATCTGCTGACCTTTGGTGGAACTCTGGAACAGCTTCATTAATTTAGATATCTACGTTATTAACAAAGTTCCAAGGATTAATTTTGTTGATTAACCTAAGTGGTATTGTGAAGAATTTTAATACTGTGCTCTTGGCTTCGGATCCTCTAAGAAAAAGTCGGAGTCAAATGTATTGTATGTAATTTTTAATGTCATTTGTCTGTTCTAAGTTGTTACCATCTGTCTCTTGTTGGACAATTAAAAAGGAGAATTTTGCATAGAACCAAAACTATTTGTAAAATCATAATATTGATTTTAATCAACAAAATCAATCCTCGGAACTTTGACGATTCGATTTGTTTTAATGCTTACTTTAGTGTAGGCCTACTTAAATCAATGATGTTGTTTTCTCATCAGAATGCATGGCAAAGTGACGGCCACTTACGAAAGTGCCTCTTTGAGAAAATTCAGATTCGGTCGCGTCGATAATATCCGAGCTTCCAGCCAAGAGGCTTTGGATTTTTCAAGGTCTATGTTAGATCCTTCCCTGAGTCAGGTTAGTCGAATAAAAACTTCTCAATTGTAATAAAATCTAGATTCAAATTGACTCTTTTGCTACCTTTAGGCAGAAAAATGGGATAAATTTCAAAAAGCCGTTAAAAAGCAAACCGAAATTCTTCTCTACGTAAGTAGTAAAGAGCCGTAAACAAATCAACAGAATTACTTATCAATTTTATAATTGTGATAATATGTGTTATTGCTCAGACAATCAACGGAGAAGGACCGGATAACCATCTTCTGTGCTTAAAGGAAATGGCTGCTCTGCACGGCTTAGAAGAACCGGCACTTTATCAAACAGATTATTACAAAGAGTTCGTGAATTTCCGCTTATCCACCAGTCAGGTCGGGCATCTTTCTATGCATTGATTACGTATTAACGAATGGAATGGTATTAAATGATTGGCTTTTGTAGTTTCCAACGACCTACGACATCGTAGTTGGATACGGTCCTGTGGTGCCCGACGGATACGGATGTTCGTACAATCCACTGCACAATCGTATCGTCTTTTGCATTACTTCCTTCAAAAGCGACCCCTCGACGGACTCGGAGGAGTTTGCACAAAATCTGCAAGTGAGCTTGATGGAGTTGAAGAAGCTTTGTAAGAGTAGGAAGACTGCAGTTTCCACCAGGTTGTTCTTTGTTATTTAACAATTCGTTCGTGTTTTAGACAGTTGAATTACTCACGTGGTGTTATTTTAGCTCACCGACAAAGGCTGCAGTTAAAGCTGAAGCAAAATAATTGAATGAAAAAAAGTTTAGTTTATTCTAACGTTTTTGGTCTAAGCTAAAGAAATTCGGCTTCAAATTTTTTGAATTCAGCAAAATTGTTTAATAGTAATTAAAAATTGATTTAATAAATTTCACGAAATCTTGCGTTGTTCATTTTATTCATTTAGTCAGAGTGGTTCAATATGTATGGAATTTCGACATAAGAAAAAGTAATGATTATCGGTTACGTTGTGAGAATCTGGACTTCAACGTAAAGAATTCAATGCCATAACATCAACTTTGACAACTATCTGTCAAATTTCACACCTGGGAGTATATCTTCTTTTAAATACTCAGCGTCTATAAAGACGTTTTCTCGTGACTTTCTGACCCGCTATCCCGATTTCGTCGTTTAATATAACAACTAGGTACCAACAATCGGCAGCGGCGCCAGTCTCTCTAGGATTAAAGTCATCGAAATTTTTGGTCAGCCAATCGTACACAATCTGATTTTCACGTTACCCTCAACTGTGCCTAGAAGAAGAACTTTCCCGTTCCAGACCTGTCCCGAACGATCCAAATCTCAACAAGCAACCTCAAGACCCTGGACCTCTGAGTCCTCACGTAATCCAAATCAAGAAGCATCACCATCAACGCAGATATTTCCTGACTGGCGAACAATTATAAACTCTCTCTCTCGCGACCGCTAGATAGATAGGCCAAGTCTATATAACCCGATATATATTACATTACATTACAAGGGTAGAGAGGTTGTAACGATTATGTGAAACAAAATTCAAATTTCTGTAAGTGTTATTTCTATAAGTTGTTTCGCATAAACGTTCGAACTGGAACCGATGCAAAGAAACGTTCCAAAGTTTCAAAAATTTCAAAAATACCTGAGGATGACCTGCGGAGCAGGTAGAAAACATCTGTAGAAGAATAAATGTTAGTTCTCAGAAATATAAGGTGGTTGTGTCANTGGTGATTAAAGGTCGAAGGAATGAGGAGATAAAGGGTGTCGTGTGAATCTCCACTACGGTCGGAAAATCGTTTTGGTTTCTCATATTTATTAAAAACACTTGAAGAAAGAAAGTCACGTTTGATCAAACATTGATTTTATACTCAGCAATTGAATATCATTACAGCTTTACTAGCTAAGAATTGAAGAAGAAATAATTTAAAACATATAGATAATTTCTGCACGTAATCTGTATAGAAGTAGAGGAAACTGTTTATGATAATTTATGATAATTCTGTGAATTATTCTTTGTTCTATATTTTACTTTCCTTATAAAAAAAATATAAGGAAGGTTTTACTCTACACGAAAAGCTTATGACGAATAGGACGTGAGAATTCAGGAAAGTAAATTCCAATGATATTCTGTGTACAACGAATGAAACCCATCTCCTGATGGTATATTTTAAACTCATCAAAACATTAAAAGTCTTGTGAGTTTTAGTGTATAACAAATAAAATAAGGCTACTTTGTCGGAAAATTAGGCGCACAAATTCTATTTACTACATTATTTGAAGAAACCAAATTTTATTTTTTGGTGTTTATGCTAGTGTCAGCTACGCATACGAAATGATTCCAAACACCTAACTAAACAGTTAAATTCGTATTCGGTATTTCAGAAGTAACAAAAGGAACCGAAGACGAGAACTCCCTGAGATGTAGTTCTTTCTAGTTCTTGCGCAAACTACTGAAAGCCATTAGATTGCAAAGCGTATGAAAGGCAACCTTATTCTAAAGTTTAAAGTAAGCTGTTCTAAAATACATAAATGGAAAATAAGGACAATGACAAATATGGCATTTCCACTGCACAATTCAAAACATTTGTGTCCGGTTGCGAGTTATAATAGGTGCTGGAAGGCAACGAAACAAATTACGCGATTGGAAACTATGAGAGGTACCCATCAGAGGTGATCATTCGAGCCTTGTCAATGGGTTGGCCACGTGGAGTTTTCCTACGTGTTTCACGGGTTCAAAAGGGCAGATATCCGAAGTGTTACTTTGCCTTATTTCATTACTTCTACAACCTTAAACGTGAAATAAATGCTTTGATTTGTTAATCTGATGGCTACGGTCTGAGCAGACGGCAGTTACCGCGAATGCATCATGATCATCCGTAGAGGCCATTTAAAATCTGTGGTTGCACGCCATATTGCCTGCTTTTGGTTTTTTTTTTTTTTGGTTCTTCTTTCTACCTTCTATAACTTTCTATCACATTAATTCTTCCTTCTTGGAGGTCAAGGCCACTTTCAAAACTCCCCAGCATAATGAATACGAGATTCCCTGAGGGCATACAAAGCGAAGGAAGGTCACTTTTGAGCTGATGCTCGAAGAGAGCGAACGACGAAACGAGGGAGACGTTACAGTGTTCGGTGCCCGAATAGAAGGTTGAAGTGATAACTACGAGAGGGAAACCTTGAAATTCTCGGGCCGAAGTCAGTGTGTTAGAGTCAGCATTTAATTTGACCAGTTGCGAATTTCGAACGCGCGACCGACAATTCGGATACAAGTAAAAACCCTCAAAACCCGAGGAAAATAAGACGGAAGTGTGTATTGTGTTTAAGAAGTTTCCATGAGGCCCCTCACGACAAGAGAAAGACGTTCGTAACAACACGAGTATTTTTGTTCTGTGCTATACGAATATTTGCTATATCTAGTCTATATTAATGTCATAATTTATATAATTTGTAATACTGGTCATAGTCTCATCCGTGGAGATGAGGTATGGATTATATCTGCATAATTAGATTTGCGATACCCAAATGAGCATACCGAGTATTGAAAAATTAATTAATATTAATCAAAATTTATTAAATTCATATGACTTATTATTTTATAAAATATATTGCAAGTAAGTCGTTATCATGCGTAAAATTTTAAATACTATAATAAAAAGTAATTTTATCGTATAATGATGAATTATTTTTACTGAAATTTGAAAGTGGATATTAATTGTAGAATTAAGTTTGTATAAACATTATTATTTATAAAAGGTTTAAGTATGTAACGTGATTTTACTAATAATTATGAAACAATATACAAAGTTATATAAAAAAATAATTATCACTGTATCTTTAATTGTTCTATTTATGTACGATTATTATGCAGGTTGTATGCTAATTAAAATGCAGCTTCAATCGCTCCTATCTTTCTCTTTAAGATGTAAAATTAGGAATCTTTGTTGAGTTATGAGTACTAAAGTTAAGTACTGTTAAGCTTACAAATAAATCTACGGAGTTGAAGCTGCAGAGAGTGGAGACAACTAGGTCAGTCCCATTACAATCTTGCAGAGAAAATTCTGGTATTGAAGTAACCACTCGGCTATCGTCTGCCTTTTTTTAGACTTAAGACACCTTGAAATGCCGAGAAATTCAAAACATTTCGGAGGTAATTTCTGTACGTATGGATGTTAGTGTTTATGTGTATGTATGTATGTGTGGCACGATTTTATTCACCCTCTTTGAAGCATAATAACTCCTATGCTTTCTGTCGAAACTTTCTGAAATTTTACAGGGAGGTTCGTGTAATAGGAGGATTGATGCTATTAAATTTTGGTGAGTAAAGGACGAGAGAGGGAGAGTCGTTAGCAAGGAAGCATGCTCGTTGCTCTTCGACCATAATTTTTTGTTCTGGATTTTGTACCAAAATAAAAAAAAACAATCTATTAAAATGGCAAAATAATGCTACAATTATCGATTATGGCACCCTCAAATTTATTATTGGAATCTGTTTGCAAGTTACAGTACAAATTGATAATTAAGTTGCGGTTGGTAACTGAATTAAAAAATAAACGACCAGATCTTGTTTAAAATAAACCAGCAACGAGTTGCTTAACTTTCCCGGAAACATTTAAAATGTTGGTGTCGCCATCTGTTTAAAATCTTTTTAAAATTTTAACTATTATAAGATGGCAAAAACCTTAATTTTGACGGTATGAATGAGTTTTATAAGAAAAATTGTAAATGCTAATAACAAGTAAAATCTCCATTAGGTTTGACCTTATACACACGATTTCCTTTATTTCCCCATTTCTTCGACCTTTAACTAATATAATTTAATAGCATAAATCCCCCTAATACGCAAAGGTCCCTGCTAAAATTTTGGACAAAAAGCACAGAGTTATTAAGAAAGAGAGTGAACAAAATCTTGTTACACACACACATACCCCTGCACACACACATATATATATACACACACTAACATCCATACATACAGAATAATCCCCGAATTTTTTGAATTTATCGATGTTTCAAGCTGTCCTGAGTCCAAAAAATGTAAAATTCTGCCGGATTGCCATACTTTCCCTTGTTATAACAGTCGGAAAAGTAATAAAAGACCAGATGTGGTTTAAAACAGACTAAAACGATAAGATAAACTATCCATAAAGGAATACCTTCTTTGCAATGTCCCCTCTTGCAAAGGTAAGTAAGAAGATCTCTTCTGATCTCTTCGAAAGTTTGTCTAAATACAAATATATTGATTTCTCAGAAGATCTATCTATATATAAATGTAGAATTAAACGTTGATAATGTGGTTGCTTTGTTATATTTCTATATTAGGCCTTCACAACAAAAGAACGAAACATCGATCGGCATATTGTATAGACGAACAACGCGTAGATAAAACTGTATTATTTAGCT